TATGCTTATGCTTACTCCCTTCATCATGTATATGTTATGCTTACTCCTTCGTCATGTATATGTTATGCTTTACTCCTCATCATGTATATGTTATGCTTACTCCTTCATCATGTATATGTTATGCTTACTCCTTCATCATGTATATGTTATGCTTACTCCTTCATCATGTATATGTTATGCTTACTCCCTCATCATGTATATGTTATGCTCAACTCCTTCATCATGTATATGTTATGCTTGTTTCTCCCTCATCATGTATATGTTATGCTTACTCCCTCATCATGTATATGTTATGCTTACTCCTTCATCATGTATATGTTATGCTTACTCCTTCATCATGTATATGTTATGCTTACTCCTTCATCATGTATATGTTATGCTTAACTCCCTCATCATGTATATGTTATGCTTACTCCCTCATCATGTATATGTTATGCTTACTCCTTCATCATGTATATGTTATGCTTACTCCTTCATCATGTATATGTTATGCAACTCCCTCCATCATGCCTCCTCATCATGTATATGTTATGCTTAACTCCCCATCATGTATATGGTATGCTTACTCCTTCATCATGTATATGTTATGCTTACTCCTTCATCATGTATATGTTATGCTTACTCCTCATCATCATCATGTATATGTTATGCTTACTCCCCTCATCATGTATATGTTATGCTTACTCCTTCATCATGTATATGTTATGCTTACTCCTTCATCATGTATATGTTATGCTTACTCCCTCATCATGTATATGTTATGCTTACTCCCCATCATCATGTATATGTTATGCTTACTCCTTCATCATGTATATGTTATGCTTTACTCCCTCATCATGTATATATGTTATGCTTACTCCCTCATCATGTATATGGTATGCTTACTCCCTTCATCATGTATATGTTATGCTTACTCCTTCATCATGTATATGTTATGCTTACTTCTTCATATGTATATGTTATGCTTACCCTTCATCATGTATATGTTATGCTTACTCCCTCATCATGTATATGTTATGCTTACTCCTTCATCATGTATATGTTATGCTTACTTCTTCATCATGTATATGTTATGCTTACTCCCATCATGTATATGTTATGCTTACTCCTTCATCATGTATATGCTTATGCTTACTCCTTCATCATGTATATATGTTATGCTTACTCCTTCATCATGTATATGTTATGCTTACTCCTTCATCATGTATATGTTATGCTTACTCCTTCATCATGTATATGTTATGCTTACTCCTTCATCATGTATATGTTATGCTTACTCCCTCATCATGTATATGTTATGCTTACTCCTTCATCATGTATATGTTATGCTTACTCCTTCATCATGTATATGTTATGCTTACTCCTTCATCATGTATATGTTATGCTTACTCCTTCATCATGTATATGTTATGCTTACTCCTTCATCATGTATATGTTATGCTTACTCCTTCATCATGTATATGTTATGCTTACTCCTTCATCATGTATATGTTATGCTTACTCCCTCATCATGTATATGTTATGCTTTACTCCTTCATCATGTATATGTTATGCTTACTCCTCATCATGTATATGTTATGCTTACTCCTTCATCATGTATATGTTATGCTTACTCCTTCATCATGTATATGTTATGCTTACTCCTTCATCATGTATATGTTATGCTTACTCCTTCATCATGTGTTATATCATGTATATGTTATGCTTACTCCCTCATCATGTATATGTTATGCTTACTCCTTCATCATGTATATGTTATGCTTACTCCCTCATCATGTATATGTTATGCTTACTCCTTCATCATGTATATGTTATGCTTACTCCTTCATCATGTATATGTTATGCTTACTCCTTCATCATGTATATGTTATGCTTACTCCCTCATCATGTATATGTTATGCTTACTCCTTCATCATGTATATGTTATGCTTACTCCTTCATCATGTATATGTTATGTATATGTTATGCTTACTCCTTCATCATGTATATGTTATGCTTACTCCTTCATCATGTATATGTTATGCGCACTCCTTCATCATGTATATCTTATGCTTACTCCCTCATCATGTATATGTTATGCTTACTCCTTCATCATGTATATGTTATGCTTACTCATGTATATGTTATGCTTACTTCATCATGTATATGTTATGCGCACTCCTCATCATGTATATGTTATGCTTACTCCCTCATCATGTATATGTTATGTCAACTCCTTCATCATGTATATGTTATGCTTACTCCTTCATCATGTATATGTTATGCTTACTCCTTCATCATGTATATGTTATGCTTACTCCTTCATCATGTATATGTTATGCTTACTCCCTCATCATGTATATGTTATGCTTACTCCTTCATCATGTATATGTTATGCTTACTCCCTCATCATGTATATGTTATGCTTACTCCCTCATCATGTATATGTTATGCGCACTCCCTCATCATGTATATGTTATGCGCACTCCCTCATCATGTATATTTTATGCTTACTCACTCATCATGTATATGTTATACGCACTCCCTCATCATGTATATGTTATGCGCACTCCCTCATGAAGCAGATGATATGCTTATTTATTCATTAATTAAGTAATATGAAAGAATACACATATACTCAGAACGTTATAATATAGAAGTTGACATCAATATATCTCCCTTATGTGTATCACGTTTAATTTCAATTCAAAGAATTAATTGTCACATATTTAATGTGTTTATTGTTTGTGAAGAGGCCCTGAGCAAGCTGATGTCATATGAACAGTACTGTCACAAATACCAGATGCCAATGCAATGTCGCAGAGATGATGTCATCGATATTTCATAACGGAAAGTCAATTGTTTTGGATATGTCGTAAAATATATTGGATGAACTTATGTTTCCACTTGTGTTTTCTTCATGTTCTTTGAAGCAATGTATAACATAATCACACCGCAGCTTTGAATTCCGCATCATCTGACCCATTTGACATAATCCTGACATTTCATTCATTTGGGAAGGATTACACCCATTTTCTTGGACGTAATTCCTTAAATAATCCCGTGATACTTCAAAGTCTTGTCATTCCGCCGAACTCTTATACCTCTTCTCAACGCCAAACAGTATAAGGCATGTGTAGGTGGAGACGTGTATTTTGAGGCGCAGATAATTGGAAAACATCCGTACGCTATATGGTTTTGTTTCAAAGCAAATCGGGAGTCTATTAGACGTTGTTTGGTGTTTCCTTGTTCGTTTCAATATATTCAGTGTCGACACCATTTCCAATATTGGCTTCTTCCTCATCCCTGCGTATACATCGAGGCGAAAACTTGCTCTGGATGACACTTACTTGTTATACTGTATCACTTTTCCTCAAAGACCTCATTTGTACAATTATTACCGTTAACCCGTGAAGATCCGGGTTAGAATAAATTATTGGTCTTCAGCAACGCATGATTGTCGCAATAGGCGACTAACGGCACCGGGTGGTCAGGCTCGCTGACTTGGCTGACACATGTCATCGTATCCCAATTGCGTAGATTGATGTTCATGATGTTGATCGCTGGATTGTCTGGTCCAGATGTGATTTTTTACAGACCGCCGCCATATAGCTGAAACATTGCTGAGTGCGGCGTAAAACTAAACGCACTCACTCTGCAACTGACAACAACCTTTGTTATTGTTCAACCAGTACAATATACATACTTTAGATATGACAGGTAGATGGTAAAAATAATCAATCTGGGATGCAAGAAGCCATATGACACCAGCTCGGAACTTTGTTAACTGACTGACTGACTGACTGACTGAGGTGGTTTTACGCCGCTCATAGCAATATTCCAGCAACATCACGGCGGGGGACACCAGAAATGGGCTTCACATATTGTACCCATGTGGGGATTCGAACCCGGGTCTTCGGCGTGACGAGCCAACGCTTTAACCACTAGGCTACCCCACCGCCCTTGAACTTTGTTAACACATCATAACCAACATAATGAAATCCTTTAGTACAACACATTTCACATTAAACATTTGACAGTGGCGATCGTATTCGAAAATGAATATCATAATAATACACATATTCATTGCTTAGACATGTGTTGTTTATGTTTATATTAGATGTTTTTGTCGGTAGAGCCGAGCACAGTAACCTTTTCGTAAAAAACTGGTATCATCGCTATTTGATTGTGATTCATAAGCACATGTTCATTGCATACAGGGGAGGTGGGGTAGCCTAGTGGTTAAAGCGTTGGCTCGTCACGCCTAAGACCCGGGTTCGAATCCCCACATGGGTACAAAGAGTGAAGCCCATTTCTGGTGTCCCCCTCCGTGATATTGCTGGAATATTGCTAAAAGCGGAGTAAAACCAAACTCAGTCAGTCAGTCAGTCAGTCAGTCAGTCATTGCATACACGTAATCGTACAATCGCCTTTCTTTTCCGCAGGAATTCATACAAATGTGTCTTTCGACGTATTGTTAGCAATGTAGTGAGCAGTGATGATCGGTCTGCAGCATCCCATACTTGTACCAAGACTTGATAACTTAAAGACAGGCATCATGCAGGTGTAGTATTGCTTTAAACAGGTGAGGTGAAATGGGGTTTAACGTCGTGCTTGAGAATATTTCTCACTCATATGGCGACGTGCATGCGTGTGTATGTGTATGTGTGGCTGCTTGTACTAGCTCAGACTTAAGCTGGTTTTATAGTGCTAGCCCACTGAGATACGATGCCGCAGTTAAGCATGAATACCCTACTCAGACACATTATACTGACTCCGAGCCGACCAGTCCGTGTTGTACACAACAAGTACCATATTTTAACGTATTTTGGTACGACGCGGTCCGGGATCGAACCCGCGACCTTCCGCTCTCCGGGCGGACGCTCTAACCACTACACCACGGAGGCGGCTTATTCTTTAAACAACAATCAAACAAAAGGAAATGGTATTAGTTCCGTTTTCTCAATACTTATGGATTCCCTAACAACAGGCAAAACCTGATGGAAAGACAAACTGTGGCAAGTGTTTGCAGATTTTATTTGTCATGTTAGAAACGATCAGCCCATGGTTATGGATTGGCTGGTCGAGTCTGGTGCGTCCCTGCCAATCTGGTTAAGCTGAAATAGAACAACCACACAAACAGTTAGTGAGTTAGATCGACCCCTTCCCTTAACAGAACCCATGGGATTTTGTTCTGGTTTTGATTATACTATGAAACAGATGCGCATATCTGTCAACATTAGCTAAGACCGACCAAGGTTAAAGGCGAGCACATTCTCTGCAGAATCCCCTTGTGTACAATTTAATCAAAATATGTCAAGATTGTGTTATATTTAATATTTCTAAACACTGCTCGGGATATGACTAAACATCCTGTGAATAGAGTTTACACAATTTGAATTACGGTACAGTAAAGGTGCACACGACTTCCGTGTCCAATGCAAACCTTATGGGCAATTTTAAATATACTTATATAGATACTTCAAGGATAACTGCACTATTTTAATTTTTCACAGACACCACTGACTTCAAAATGTTGGCTCCATGTATTACACACGTGCAATTATACATTATATGCAGGACAATCCTGCATTCGAACCAGCCGTTGTCAAGAAATGTTTTGCTCTTTTAACTATTTAGATTTCTTCAGAAACAAAAAATGTGTACTTTACTCAGCAAAGCCCATGATGGGAAACGAGAAAAATTGTGTGTAGTCAGTTTGATGTATATAAGTTGAAATTCATTGTAGACACCACCAAGAAATAGTTATGGTATAATTATATCAGTATTAAGGGGTTTTTTTCTCTTAGAATCTGCACTTGGAACACTTGCCGATGCAATCTGGCCAAATTAAGGTTCAGAATGCTTAAGATCACTATTTTTCTCCTTATGTGTAAACTTGAATAGACAATTTTCAATAAATAATGAGAAAATGCGATTTGAATGTTTGGAGTCTATTATCTCCAAATTAGGTTTAAGTGACTTAGAACACACTGGTTTTCAGTCGACGACTTGGTAACTGAGGCATCGTACAATCCGCTGATCAGTCTACTCACTGACACATTTCATGCAGGTGTTACTACTGGCGGTACCATCATCTACACGATCAACTACAAACATAAGTAATGAAATGTTTAAAATAAGTACTTACAGAATTTACAGGCCACGTATACTGGTTCAGCTTCGCCACCAACCATTGGACACAATTTCTGCACGGAGCACCCTACTCGGGTAGCGGTGCTGGTAATCTGGGAAGAAAGGATGGAATACATGTATACAGAGAGAATGAGGGAGCCCTTTTGTAGTAATGAAGCCTGGGCCATCTCATGTCACAGTTCTCCCTGTGGTCTCGGAAGAGAAACTAGTACTATTTCTTCCCATGGCAAGTTTTCACACGCAAATCATTGGTCATTTTGTTGGCTCAGGCAAGAAGGTATCTGAATTGTTTTAATTATATTTTATTGTCACAAATATGAACTTAACGTCACAACAGAAAAAATGGTAGCTTAAACAACTGTATATAATTGGAGATTCACGTGTATGAAGTGTGCGTCTAGTAATCAAACAATCAATAAGATAAGATAAGGGGCATCCTTGCTTTATTGTAATCATGGAGATGTTTCTATATAAACTACCATTATTGCCAAATATATTCACCAAGCCGTTTATGTAAATGATATTATACCATTTTCCACCAGGAAACGAAGTTATTCATTCACTGTCCTTAGTGTTTCGGGAACGTCCCAGAAGATTAAACTATCCGACTTTCACATCTTGAGTGTAGTTTCCGGTTAATATTAATTATTATTACCACGTGGTCAACGTATGGGTAGTTGCATACTAATCTCGTACGTAACATGAGTGTCGTATCGCGTTGACCTGTGCCGTAACGACTTGACCTGACATTTTAACGATTTGATTGGATTACCGATGACATCTCAGTTAGATGCCGTTGTGACTGAACTACTTTCTCATTCATAACAAACACATGGATTCATTCATTCTGCAACTTATAATACACGTTATAATAGTTCAGGGGAAAAGTTACTTTACTACACTATACATGGGGGTAGAGCGAACTGTATTTCTATTTAAAGATGACAAATTTAATATTTAACGACGATAAATCTAAGGCAGAAAGTAAACAGAAAAGCGACTGTGTAGGTGACCTAAATTAACAATCCTCGTTCAGGGCTAACTGACGCGCTGTTCTATTGACGTGCAAAAAGTGTACTTTATCATCTGATAAAGTACTGTCGGCGCCTTGGATCTTTAAGCAAAGCATCTTAAAATATTCTATGAAGAGAAATATTTGCTTCCTTTGAAGCTTCTGTTTGGTGTTATTAAGTTTTTAAAGCGTTTCCACATGGTTTGTCTTCCTTATCAAGTAAAACAGATAAGAACTATATATATTCAATTGCGCATATTCAGGAATGTCAAAAGAAGTGCAAAGGGTAATCCTCAACAAAATTCTTCCGCAACCTCTTTATGAAACCGGTTTTGGTTTGAAGCATAAAATTACCAAGAATACGCTATTTTGTCAATTTTATGCAGGTAAGACGTGGGTAATAAATAAAATTCCACACTCTGTCTCGTTACATACGAATTATACGAAACTCATGATCTTCCTATGGTTTCTGACCTTGCTTTCGCTCGGTCTTTACCATAGACAGGACACTCGTTCGTATTTAAATTTGGAGGGTGATTAATGTATACATTCTTGACCAACACAAAGATTTATTGTTACCTCTTTCAGAGCAGTAGGGTTATCACTCCACGTAGCAATGGCTTTGGTGATGGCGTCATCCACATCGGTTCCATGTGAGAAGATGGCGGATGTGACCTGAGGCATCTCCTGGTTCACACAGCTCTCAGTAATGCCATCTGCTTCTCTCATGTCGAACACATCCCAGACCTGATACAACATACACTCGGTCGTCATCACATTTGACACTGCTGATTGACTAACATAAAATCAATATAGAATGTGTCTTCATATATTTTCTACCCGTAAAGATCCGGGTTAGAATGAGTCTTCAGTAACCATGCTTGTCGTAAGAGGCGACTAACGGGATCGGGTGGTCAGGCGGCTTGCTGACTTGGTTGACACATGTCATCCGTTCCCAATTGTGTAGATCGATGCTCATGCTGTTGATCACTGGATTGTCTGGTTCAGACTCGATTATTTACAGATATATTGCCACATTGCTGGACTATTGCTGAGTGCGGCGTTAAAAAACCCAACCCATCAATCATATATTTTCTTTTTTGTAGGCTGAGGTGTGGGTGATTTGTTTGTACCCGGTGGTTGAAGTTAGCAATCAAAATAAGCAGGTCGAAGGTTCAAATTGTACTCCATTGTGTTCTGTCTTTTGCTTTGAGCTGAAACGCCATGATACACTGCTATACTCGTCAGTTAGAAGCGACGTTAACCCTATGCCACCATGCTTCTGGCGTTTAAGTAAGTAAACCACGGTGACAGTTAAAAGGCATGTAACAATGTAATTGCGTTTAACGATCCGTTGGACAATATTTCAGTTACAAGACAGCACGTCACCCCTGCATGGAAAACACTCTTAAGAAAGATATTATCATTTTACCGAAGTCCTCATACACCGTGACAAACCGAGAATCATAATCAAGGTAAATCTCAGATTCAACATATATCTTAGGAATACGGCACATCGGGCGAACGCTCGGAGAATCGCTGCACCTTTCTGTCGGGTTAATTGTCAGTTTCTATTTGGCTTTTAGACGAGAGACGCAGTTCTTAAATGGATTCATGTCATTCAAAAGAAATAAGAGCCAGTTGGGTCGCAAAACAACTAATCTTTTGTATAAAGTATGACTGTCTCACCAATACTATGCAATTCACAAAGCACAGCCATTCTCCTGTTAAAAGTATTGATCTCGTTATCTGTATACTACTTACCAAGTCAGGTTCGTCACTGGCCTTCCTGATTTCGTTCATTGATGCTAAAGCTGTTTCCTGAAGCTCAGGGGAAAGGTTTTCGGCAACTGCCAGAGCCACTATGGCGCAAAACACGAGGACTTTCATGGCTGATGTGGAACTCCCTTTGGAACTGTTTAAGATTTAGAAAGAAACAGAGCTTGTAACATGCTTTGACCCTGTAGGCATCAGCACGTCAAATATGTCAGCAAAGTTAGTAATAGATCGACAGGGTGTCAATATATGTCAGCCATGTTAGTAATAGATCGACAAAATGCATCGGCAATGAGTCAACATCGTATCAGGGCATATGTGTCAGTTCTATCTTAATGTTTTATCAACGATATATGTGCATACACCATCAATGTGACTGTTTTGTTTAAGAAACACTTGCATTTTACTACATTGTGTTTGTTATCCGTGTGTTAACCATTTTAAGCAGCGTGTATTTTATAATATGAATGTATAGCTAGAAAGCGTGCATATCTAGTCGATGTTCCCTTCCATGGCGAAGTGAACCATTCAATTAGATTTGGGCCTTCTCGCAATGGATTTTGGTATGTTTTAGTTGTTTCACAAAAAAATATATGCTCTTTTTTGTGATTTATTGTCTGCTGTGTAACGCCACACTCAGACGGCGGTGGACCCGTGAAGATCAGGGGTAGAATAGGTCTTCAGCACACCCATGTGCTTGCCATAAAAAGGCGACTATCTTGTCGTAAGAGGCGACTAACGGGATCGGGTGGTCAGTTTCGCTGACTTGGTTGACGCATGTCATCGGTTCCCAATTGCGCAGATCGATACTCATGCTGTTGATCACTGGATTGTCTGGTCCAGACTCGATTATTTACAGACCGCCGCCATATAGCTGGAATATTGCTGAGCGCGGCGTAAAACTAAACTCACTCACTCACTCACTCAGACGGCGGTGTGTAAATAATGGAGTCTGGACTAGACAACCCTGCAATCAAAATCACGAGCATCGATCTTCGCTACTGAGATACGATGACCGAATCAGAGAGCCTGATCACATGATGGCTTTAGTCGCCTCTTTAGCCAAACATGGGTTTCTGAAGACCAATTCTTACCCGGATCTTCTCGGGTGGATATGTTGTACCGCAACATTATAAAGATCGTTTGTTCCCTTTTTGTTGACGTGTTTAGGCATATTGTACTGCACATATGCCCCCGATACCGATACACTGTGAGTCCACGATACCGATACTGTGAGCCCACGATACCGATACTGTGAGCCCGCGAAACCGATACTGTGAGCTACCAATACGGTGAGCCCGCGGTAACGATACTTTGAGCCCACGATACCGATACTGTGAGCCCGCGATACCGATACTGTGAGCCCACGATACTAATACTGTGAGCCCGCGATACCGATACTGTGAGCCCGCGATACCGATACTACTGTGAGCCAACGTGAGCCCACGATACTAATACTGTGAGCCCTCGATACCCCACGATGCCGATACTGTGACTGTGACACCGCGATACTGTGACACGATACTGTGAGCCCACCGATACTGTGAGCCAATAATACTGTGAGCCCGCGATACCGATACTGTGAGCCCACGATACCGATACTGTGAGCCCCCGCTACCGATACTGTGAGCCCGCAATACCGATACTGTGAGCCCACAAAACCGATACTGTGAGCCCACAACACCGATACTGTGAGCCCACGATCCCGTGACCCCGATACCGATACTGTGAGCCCACGATGCCACCGATACCGATACTGTGAGCCCGCGACACCGATACTGTGAGCCCGCGCTACCGATACTGTGAGCCCACGATACCGATACTGTGAGCCCGCGACACCGATACTGTGAGCCCGCGCTACCGATACTGTGTGAGATACTGTGAGCAACGATACCAATACTGTGAGCCCGCGACACCGATACTGTGAGCCCACGATGCCAATACTGTGAGCCCGCGACACCGATACTGTGAGCCCACGATACCAATACTGTGATCCCGCGACCATGATACTGTGAGCCCGCGACACCGATACTGTGAGCCCACGATACCGATACTGTGAGCCCGCGACACCGATACTGTGAGCCCGCGACACCGATACTGTGAGCCCTGTGAGTCACGATTAAAACTCGGGTTCGATTCCCCAACATATGAATTCTACCTCTAAAATCCCTATTGTGAAATGACTGGAATACCGTTAAGAAAGGCCTGATACTAAACTCATTCACCCCTCTGGAAAACCGATATATTGGCAAAAAGAACAAGCAAAAAGAGAAACTTACCAAAGTCGTAACGGATGTTGAAAGGAGCTGACTGAATGTTGAGAGACAACCAACGCCCTTATATACCATCAGCTGCACACTGCAGAATGCTTACCAGAATGAAGAAATCATAATAAGTGGCAATATGCATGCTTAATATGGCATCAGCTGCATATTACATGAAACACTTGTTTGTAAAACCGAGAGATTCCTACATATATGCATTTGATTGATCACTAATCAAATCATTTATTAACTCAATTGACGCTTATTAAGTATATCTACTATCACAATAAACATTAATTAATTGGCTTGTAACTATTTTATGAAATCACTGTTGAAGAGTTGTGAGTTTACTGGGGGTGGGCCACAAGTTGAAGCCCTTACATATTTATGAAAAATATAAAGACAATGCCAGGGAGTCGATTTTACTGGACACATATATATGGCAAAACAGCAGTGAATATTATGTGAATGGATAACAGAAACAGGGCTACAGACATCTATTTCTCAGAATTAAGCCTTAAAGTTGAATATGAAAGGAAAAGAGAAACCAGTGCACGACAGAGTGAGATTGTGCGTTCATCTGCACCTGTATGATATTGTGATCGTGAGTTTAAACATACTATGCCTTATCAGCAATGCCTCACATGAACATAGCCATGTTGGACACAAGAGATGCTTTTTCCCTTTTCCCGTTACTTTGAATTCAAGGTTTTCTACTGGGCTAGTAAACATATTCATTTCAGGTTTAACCCTTTGATCGTCCATAAAGATCACTCGGTTAACTCACAAAGACATTGGTACTGGAGTTTTTGGTCATTGGATGCTAATGTGCATCATTGGTCACTACATGTTAATGTGCATCATTGGTCACTCCATCCTAATGTGCATCATTGGTCACTGCATGCTAAGGTGCATCACTGGTCACTGCATAGCTAATGTGCATCATTGGGTCACTGCATGCTTTTGTGCATCACTGGTCGCTGCATGCTAATGTACATCACTGGTCACTGCATGCTAATGTGCATCATTTGGTCACTGCATGCTAATGTGCATCACTGGTCACTGCATATCTAATGTGCATCATTGGTCACCGCATGCTTTTGTGCATCACTGGTCACTGCATGCTAATGTACATCACTGGTCACTGCATGCTTAATGTGCATCATTGGTCACTCCATCCTAATGTGCATCACTGGTCACTGCATGCTAATGTGCATCATTGGTCACTGCATGCTAATGTACATCATTGGTCACTGCATGCTAATGCGCATCATTGGTCACTGCATGCTAATGTGCATCATTGGTCACTACAGGCTAATGTGCATCACTGGTCAATGCATGCTAATGTACATCACTGGGTCACTGCCTGCTAATGTGCATCATTGGTCACTGCATGCCAATGTGCATCATTGGTCACTGCATGCTAATGTGCATCACTGGTCAATGCATGCTAATGTACATCACTGGGTCACTGCATGCTAATGTGCATCATTGGTCACTGCATGCTAATGTGCATCATTGGTCACTGCATGCTAATGTGCATCATTGGTCAATGCATCTAATGTACATCACTGCTAATGTACATCATTGGTAACTACATGCTAATGTGCATCATTGGTCACTGCACGCTAATGTGCATCATTGGTCACTGCATGCTAATGTACATCATTGGTCTCTGCATGCTAATGTACATCATTGGGTCACTACATGCTAATGTACATCATTGGGTCACTACATGCTAATGTACATCATTGGTCACTGCATGTTAATGTGCATTATTGGTCACTGCATGCCAGTGTGAATCATAAGCCATTACATGTTAATGTGCATCATTTATCGCTAGATATTAATGTTTATTATTGGTCAGTAATTTATACCTAGCTAAATTGCTTGCAACATTCATAACCAAACATGTATATAGCCACTTGTTTGTTACGTAATGAGGCACCACATGCATGTTTTATGTAATGTTAATAACGCTGATTATCATTATTCTGGATGATCAAGTACATAAATCGTGGTTAGATAATGCACAATATATCTTTCAAGACGTGCGCAAAACCAAGCGTGTTGCTACAGATGGCGTAGTAAAGGATCCCCTAGTCTGTCGTACAGACCCACGCAAGTCTACAAAATGTGGCAAGTCTAGATTTCCTGAAAATGAAGAAAGTCTCAGGGCTTCTTTTCATTATATTATATTTTTTTTCACTATGAACTTTTTTCAGTAAAATATTTTCATTTCAGAGACTAGCTGTTAGTCTAAGGATCCCCCTGAAAGCGTATATATTTGTTGTAACAAAGTTGTATACTTCCATGAGAAACATATGAATAATAACATGTCCTTGTATGTTCATAGCACTAGCCAAGGTCGCTTCTGATCCTCATCCTAACATGCTAAGGGGTCCAAGGGCAGAGCGCCCGCTCTCTTCAGTTTATCAGTGAATGTCTACATCGCGTATGTGATTTTCCAATTTAGATGTTGGTTGTCATACAACGACTATCACCCGCCTTGAGAGAAAACATCACCCGTCCATGCCACGTGGCGTGTTAGAAACAGCGTTGTGTCCTCATCGTCGTTTGACAGAACGTTCCCTGTTCCGTTTTTGTGTATACAGTATCATTCTGACCTTTGAAATGTTCTTCACCGCTGACGGGATCCGAGAAGGTCCGGGTTAGAATGGATTTTCTGCAACCCATGCTTGTCGTAAGAGGCGACTAACGGGATCGGGTGGTCAGGCTCGCTGACTTGGTTGACACATGTCATTGATCCCAGTTGCGTAGATCGATGCTCATGCAGTTGATCACTGAATTGTCTTGTCCAGACTCGATTATTTACAGACCGCCTCCATATAGCTGGAATATTGGTGAGTGCGGCGTAAAACTAAACTAACTCACACACTATCGCTGACGGACATACACAAGCCTACATTATACAATGAAAAAGTTACTAACCTGACGTTAAGGAGCCTCTTAACATTCGGGTCTTGTTTCTTGGACACCTGTTAATTTATAGCAATCTGTAATTTCTTTAATGAACTCGTGCCACGACGAGATGCTGTTTCGTTGTTCAGTACAAATACACAGCTTTTATCCGTATAAAAATATAAGTAACCTTTTTGACTTTTATATATGTGCATTTCCGTACTACTGCTCAAAATGAAGAATCATGTTTAACACTTATGAGTTTAATACAATCGCGTGCAATTACTAAAGCGTGGAGAGAAAAGCGTCGATTGACGACTGCACATTCAGATCCGCTTCTTAAAAATTGAGATGTCATTATCTATAGCATTACATCAATAATGTATCTGGTTAATTGTGCTTGTTGGAAGTAGTTAGATGGTTAATTAATGATATAAACCATCACTGGGCGTAAAACATAAACATTCCTGAGATACACCTGTGGCATATTTCAGTAACTGTCTCACAATGAGCTTCTGTAGCATGTGAGGTGAGATTGGGTTTAGCGTCGCACTTATGAATATTTCGCTCATATAACGACGTGCATGTGTGTGTATGTGTTGCTGCTTGTACTAGCCCAGACTTAAGCTGGTTTTATAGTGCTAGCTCACTGAGATACCATGCCGCAGTTAAGCATGGATATCCCACTCAGACACATTACACTGACTCCGAGCCGACCAGTTCTTGTTGTCGAGCGCCATACAGAGATCAACACTTACTGTATTTCAACGTCTTTTAGTATGACGCTGCCGGGGATCGACCTTCCGTTCTCCGGGCGAGCGCTCTAGCCACTACACCAGGGATGCGGCCTTTCTTTAGCATGTACAGCAAAACAGTGTTAGTACACACCCCTTATTATTTGAATGGTGTTTTGGCAGAACTGGTAGTTTGAAAGTATCAAACTTTAATGAACTTTCCTCGGATGCTAAAACTAACAGGATCTTTGAACATTAAGGAGTTGTTGATAGGGTATTGCAGTTGGTAATTCGCAGACATACAGTCGGTGTTCGATTCCTGAAATATGTTACCAAAATATATAGCAAACTCTATCATCATCATTATCATTTATTGGAAACCATTCACTATTATTTTCAGATTTTTAATTAATTTGGAGACCTCTGTTTCACGTTCATCAATACTGGTAGAGAGGAGGCACCTAACGGGACCGGGCAGTCAGGCTCGCTGACTTGGTTGATGCTTGGCATAGTTTCCCAATTACGTAGATCGATGATTATCTCAATTATTATCAATCACGGGTGTATCTGGTCCAGACTCGATTATTTACATACTGCTATCATGTAGTTGGAATGTTGCTGAGTGCGGCGTAAAACTAAACTCACTCACTCTGGCCTTAAATCAGTCGTTTGACTAGCTTACCTTTCCGAGACACTATGGAGACACTATGTCATTTAGAAAGTGGTCACATGCTAAATGCGGCTTTGAACAGCAAACAACCAGCAAATACATTGCGAAAACATATTTCCAATGACACCGGCGAAGCAGGTTGTGTTTCCATATCTGTGATTGTAGACTTTTGTGGATTGGGGTCGTTTACCAAATTTTATATATATATTATATTATCTAAACTCTTACCTTATTGTATTATGTTGTAGGGGCGGTGGTTGAAGCGTTCGCTCGTCACGCTGCAGACCCAGGGTCGAGTCTCAACATTGGTACAATGTGTGAAGCCCATTTCTCGTGTCCCCCCTTCGTGATATTGCTGGATTAGTGCAAAAGCGGCGTAAACTAATCTATCTCACTCACTCTCACTCACTCACTTACTCACTCACTCACTCACTCACTCACTCACTCACTCACACTCACTCACTCACTCACTCACTCTCACTCACTCACTCACTAATGCTGTATTTCTGACTCTGTAGATCACTGGCCACTACAAACACACTTAGAGGACTCATGGACACTTTTACACTGCCCATGACCAAGACATGTAATGTATTGTTTACAGTCTGAGAAAGGGGACACAAGCGGATTAGCCGTGCCAGTCGCTCGGAGGATATCAGTGTCTCTGAGACATGTTAGGAGCCTGATTGTACGCTTAATGGTTATTATCCGGGTTTCCTACTCGAAGCAAGACTACTATGCTCTTCATGCAGATGTAAACGTCGGTATCACTTCGCTCACGT